TTCTGTGCATGCCTCTGTTTGGATTTAGCTGTCAACACCTCACACATGTAAAATCAATCTGTGTGATAGTAATGTAAACATCATGCATGACAAAGTGGTGGGCATTTTATTGTTCTAACAGGGAAAACAGGCAAAATGTGTGCACATGTATGTTTTTCCTACAGTTCAGACAATAATATGATATAAATGACGGTATGTGTTTTACAAAAGAAGAATCAAATTATAAAAAGAGGAAACAGCAAGATGGGGGAAGGCTGAAGAATGCCTCGTGTTAGGAGAGTCTAACAGGACAGTGGGGGCAGGAATTATGCATAGGGGAGAGATTTTTATGAGAAAAATTGTCATTCATAATGTCACTTTCCTCTCATTATTATTATAATCTCATTTCCTAATTACATGTGCAATACAACCAGTTTTCGTAATGCTTTAGTGGGGAGTCCGTTGCTTTAGTTTTAAAAATAGGCAATTCTCTTGCGCTGAGAAAAGAGCACATTGCCTTTAAGAGCATTGTAACTGACAAGACGGAAGGATTCAGGCAGGATGTTGAGGCTGAAGCTTTTCAATCACCTGCCATTAATATGATTCAATTTATGCTTATGTCATAGGTTTAGATATCACACAGTGCTGTAAGCAGGGAAGGGACTTGAATAAAATACAGGGAAGAAAGCAGATGGTATGCTATCAAAACCCTTCAAGCCTAAAATAACCTTTCCCAAGTAAGGAGGATAGTTAATTAAAACCAGGATATATTTACTCTATTCCGAATATCTCAATGTAAATAAAAATCAAAATGACACCACTGTAATGTGGGATTAAATGATGAAATTTCATCTATTCTATTTTTCTTTAATAGTTTCTAATCAAACTTTTCATTAAACAGCTTCATAAAATTCCACAGAGAATTTATTTATAGAGATTCATTGTAGATTTAAAAGCCTTACTTTTATTGTTCAATTAAACCTGTTATTCAATGGACAACATTGAAACAGTGGGGAGAGGGGATGGTGTCTGAGCAGTCGGGAAAGGCTGTCACACACACAGAGGGTGGGGGTCATCCCTGCCCAAGAAAGCCTAGTTCTGGCTAAAGCCACTGCCTGAGTCTGGGTCCACAGACTCATATTCCTGTCCCTGTCCCCCTTGTAGAGAGAGGGTACCAGTCCATTAATTATGGCAAACTAACCTAGGGAAAGCCAACAGTTCACCCACAATGAAGGCAGCCATTCTTAACATGGAGAGTCAGGACATGAATTGTCAGTGATCTAGAGATTTCCCAAACTTTTCTATTAGCCTTTCTCCCTATCTTTTCTTTTTTTAATTTTTTATTATTTATTTACTTTCAAGAGAGAAAGCACGAGTGGGGGAGGAACAGAGAGAGTGGGAGAGACAGAATCCCAAGCAGGCTCTGTGCTGTCAGTGTGGAACCCGACGCGGGGCTCCAACCCACGAGCTGTGAGATCATGATCTGAGCAGAAGTCAGATGCTTTCACTGACTGAGCCACCCTGGTGACCGTCTCCCTTTTTTTTTTTTTTAATGTTTTTTTTTTTTTTTTTTAATTTATTTCTAGGAGAGAGAGAGAGACAGCGTGAGCTGGGGAGGGTCAGAGAGAGAGGGAGTCACAGACTGAAACAGGCTCCAGGCTCTGAGCTGGCAGTCAGCACAGAGCCCGACACGGGGCTCGAACCCACGAACCGCGAGATCATGACCTAAGCGAAAGTCGGACGCTTAACCGACTAAGCCACCCAGGCGCCCCTCTCCCTGTCCTTTAAAACCAGACCCAGTTCTGCCTTTTTCATGAGGTTTTCCCTTGACCCCCTCCCATGATCACCTCCAGTCCCCCCAGCCCACTGCTAAATTCCTCCTGTGCTTGCTTTCTGCAACACTCACCAAATACTTAATCATTGACTTTCTTGTAACATTAGTTAACCTTTCAGGTGCATTAATCCTGTCTTCTCCAATTAGATTTTTAAATCCTCCAAGCAAGCAAGAACTGTGTTTTATTTATCTTCTGAATGCCCTCTCTCACCCCCACTCCATAATCCCATTTAAGAGAAGAAAGCAAAAAATATATTAGTTAATAAAATAAACATTATTTAATCTAGGAAAGCAGACACTGTCCTTTTGAGAAGGGCCTTACAGGTACATTATGGCAATTTATGAATTTCATGTGTCAAAGGTGTAGCTGCTAAATGCTATAAACCCTTTGCCATCAGCTCCACCATTCACCCACCTGGTGATATGGCTAATAAAATTTGATTTTTACAGCCTAGGCATACTGTTACCTAAATTACATTTGACCAATTACCGAAGTCACCAAACGTGTGGTACAGAATATATACTGTGTAGAAAATTCATCTGTGGGCCCCCTGTCTCTAGCGGTAATCTGACAGACGTGCTTCAGTCATCTGGCAGTGTTTAATATTAGGAACATTTGTTTAATGCTAATGAAATTTATGTTCTCCTACCAACTGTTAGTGGGTTGGAGAAACCCAACCCCACATTTTAACAAACTCTTTAACCCACGTTGCTTTCAAATACGACCAGTTGGAGGTTTAAAAAGGTGATTTCTGGAAATTTAGATGTGTGACCCAAAGTGGAAGGTGGGGGAGGGATGTCGGCGAAGGTATGCAAATAAGGTCAAAATAAGCTTTTCTGGGGGGGGGGGGGCGGTAGGGGAAAGTGTGTCCACTTAGGAAACTGAAATACTATAGAAGTACAAACTCAACTACATTAAAGATTAAAGAAAAATCTAATATTCTAATTATTAAGCTATCCATCTAAAAGCTCTTTAAATGTACCTTTATTCCAAAACAAAGCTTCCACTTTAAGAGGCTGGAGAAGAAAAATAGCATTAAAATTAGCTTTACCAAAAGAAAGTTCAGGAAGACATTCAAAAGTCAGATGCTTGTGTTTGTGAGAACATTTTAAAACTAATTTAGTAACTCTTAACAACCATTGTGATCACTGTTAAATTGGAACTTCTTTCTATCACCAATTCCAGACGCAACAGCTTTGAAGCTCAATGACTAATAACTCTTAAATTAGCCAAAAAGGTTAAAACATTTTTCATTATGTTACATTGTGATACTCTAACTTTGAATACTCTTAAGTGAGGGAAAGCGTTCTTTCAGTTTTATTTTGTGTCAGAAATTTACAGACCTCTTGTGCAGCAAGCAGGGCAGAGAGGTTTGGAAATCAGGGATATGGGGGGAAAAACCCTCAAAACAGAAGTGCTAAAAATGGAAGATTTGTAGATGCTGATCTGAAAAGAGAAGGTATTTTTTAAAAATGTTTTATTTATTTCTGAGAGAGAGAGAGGCAGTGTGAGTAGGGGAGGGTCAGAGAGAGAGGGAGATATAGAATCTGAAGCAGGCTCTGAGCTAGCTGTCAGCACAGAGTCCGACGCGGGGCTCGATCCCATGAACTGTGAGATGATGACCTGAGCTGAAGTTGGGTGCTCAACCGACTGAGCCACCCAGGCACCCCAAGAGAAGGTATTTTAAAAATGTATTGGATACACTCATCTACTAGAATAAAAAGGTTATTGGAGTATTAAAAATATGACAATTCTTCTTGGAAAAATGAGAAAATAACTTATATAAACACTACAATTCTCTTATAGAATGACAGTCATTCGGTAAGCCAGAGCTGTGAAAGGCATCCAAAAAAAAGTTTGTAAGAAAAAAAAAAAGCAAGGTCCAATGAACCTAGATCCCCTTCTTCCCTTCCTTCCCTTCTGGATCATCATATTTCATCCCTTCATCCTCATTCCTATGTATAACACCCCCTTGCAGCAGGTAGAGTTCTGCTGGGGTCATGAATAATCAGAGCGGAGAGGCTACAGTGGATTTCTTGAACCATGCTAAGCCTGAGATTATTTAGCAGAATAATCTGAATAATCCATAAACTAAGGATCCTTGGGAAAGCATTAGCTGGCAGCATCAAGGAGTATTCCAACTCAAGGGGACCCCATCAGTGCTCTCTCTGGGCCAGTGGTCTCAGCCTCTTCTCCAACCAAGTACCCATGAGAGATTCAGTGTGGGTCAGTCATCACACTGGTTACTCCATGGTGGCAATTCCCAAAGAAGTGGTAGATGGGGGAGTTTCATGCTTCTGTAAGCACAGGAATTTCCAGGAACATGGATAGCTTGATAAAGCACCCCCAGGGTATTCTGATATCCCTGCCAAACCTGTTGAGAACCACTGACATGATTCAATCTCTTCAACAAACAGATGAGAAAACGAAGATGTGAGAGATGTGACCCTGGCTTGCCTCCAGTCATTCACTGCATCATGCAAGGTCTCCCAAACATATGATATCTCTTCTCCTCCTTCACTTCTATCTATAGAGACACATGACCGACCGGCTAGGCAGAGATGTAGATAAAGATATGTGTGCATATATCCAAGTTTGGTGGGCATAGTGTATAAAAATATATATACAGATATCTGAATATAGATATGTAAATAAATATCTTTATATTTTTATACACGGTGCCCACCAAAGATGGATATATATGTGTATATATACATATGTATGAAAAAATTATGGGGCATGGAGATCTATCTATCAACAGTCTATCTGTTCACCTTTATAGTACTGAAGTTGTTACAATTGGTGCATTTTTACAGTTCCTTGTAACACTGAAAAGGGTGTGATCAATGAAAAAAACTCAGTATCCAAATAGCCAAAGTCTTTGAAGAAAGAACTAACATGAAAGCTTCCGGTCTGAAAGTCCAATTTCAAGGTCAACCAAGCAACTTCAGACCCTATACTGAGCAACAAATTCTAAATAATTACCTTTTATCCTGGTAAACAGGCTGCCAAGGAGGCAATGACACTTCATGCTACAATAATTTGGGGGGAGTGGAGGGGAGGGGAGGGGTGGCACACGAACTGGTGAAAATAAGCCTTGTTCCCCATCACCGCTCTTCACAAGAACTGAAAACAACTAAACACACACGCGCAAGTTTCATGTAGGAAAAAAAAAAAAAGACTCACCAAACTCATCGCATATACTCTCATTTTCAATGAGAGTTGGGTGGTCAAAGGTGTCTCGACAGTACAGGATCTGAGGGTTCTTGCTGACCACCGCAATGCCCCCCAGGGCTAATGCAAACTGGTCTGTTAGAATGGAAGACGGCTTATCCTGGATGCGTTTCAGCATCGATCGGTACCGGCAGTACTGAGGGTAGCTGAGAACTATCACGTTGGTTTCTTCCTCGTCCTCCCCTAGACAAACAAGAAAACACGTCCATTACTCCCTTCCCTCCAACAAAGAACTGTCTGGGCCATGGCGTAATTTCAATGATTTTTGTATTAATACAAACTCTGGTTTTGTATTAAAATGTGTCTTCAGTGAGTCTCTTCTACCAGGTCACGTTTATTACTGTCTGGTTGATGTGGGCATTTTCCTGGCTCCACCTCACCAACCCAATTCCACTAAAATGCCTCGGGTTTCTGGCAGGGAAAGAAAAAGTGGAGAAAAGAAAGAGATGGGGTGATCTCATAGACAGATTAAGCAATGTTTAGGTCACCAGCAAACAGCAGAACCAAAAAACTGTTTTGAAAGAGTCTGATATATATTTTAAGCTTTAAAGTCATGATCACAGGAAATATCAGAATTTTTCTGAGCTTCTTTATACATACTTCCAGAGTTTGGTATTGCTCCTTTTTTGGATTGTATAATCTTTCAGTGCTGGAAGTCTCTGAAAAGGTCATCTGGCCCCAGAGAGATGTCCATAAGTTCAAATAGCATCATCATCAAATCTGGTGGTGGTTAGTGCCGTCCAACAAATATTTCTGGTTCTCTTTATGGTCTTGCAGAAAGACCGTGCTTCCTGGCCCACTGGTGTCAAGTGACCATGTGACTTATTTTGGCCATTAAAATGTGACAGAAGTGAGTGGCTACTTTAAGGGCCAGTGTTTGACTGATAACACTCTCTTTCCCTTTGTCTGGGGCATCTGTAATGATTGAGATAGTGGCTGATCTGCCAGTCAGGAGTAGGAATCACACAGAGAAGTGTGAATCCCCTCGATCCTAAATGGACACAGCACACAAGCACAAAAGGGACCTTTGTTGCTATAAGCGAGGCTGTGATTTGGGGGGTTATTTGTTTTTGCAGCAAGATGTATCCCAACTTGATTGATACATCCACCTTCTTTGCCCTCCCCCCTTCTCATACCCCCTACCTTCTAATGTTCCTCAAATCCATCTGGTAACTTGGCACATTTCAGAGAACCATGCTGAGAGGACTCCCCAACCATCCTTGTGACAGCTCCATCAGAACCAACTTAGCTCAGAACATTTCAGCAACTTTAATGAAACTCCCTTTTACAATGATCTTAATCCTTATCTACACCTCGCTATATTAAGTGATTATTTATAAAAACCAGATTCTTCATGGAGGAATCCTGTCTTCAGCTTAAGCCTGAGAAACAGCAAAAACTCCCCTTTGGTAGCATGCCACCTGCACAATGTCAAGCTGAATTTAGGCTCCATGACCCAGTCTGCCATCACTCTTTATAAACCACCCCATCAGGGCATTTGTAAGCAATTCCCAGATATGTCACTGGCTTATCCAAAGGGAAAACACTCAATATTTTGAGTCCTTACCATGCTGCAGGGAATTGCAAAAGACAGTTGTTAAGGATACCAACATTATTGTGGCCATCTGGTAACCAGTGGGAGACAAATGAGTAAGGACAGAACAAATGATAGACTATAACCAGTACCAGTGGAAGGTGTGCATGTGACCTTTTCAGATAGGAGGCCAATACCCAGATGTATCTCTAATTATGTTCACTTAGTTCCCCAGGCTGGAGGCTTCCTCGAGAATGGAGATGTTAGCTGCTTTCAAGATGACATCTTTTAACAGTTTACATTTCTTAGACTCCTGCCTGGTTGTGGGTAGCCACTTTGTCAGCTGCCATACCAAATTAAAAGGAAGTGTGTTTACATTAAAGGCAAGTCCCCAAATGAGATACAGGTTTTAAGATGCTGATATATGTCCCAAGGCATTTCAATTTGAGATTTTTATGGCAGACCAAGACCCTCGTTCACACTTTGGGTTCAAATCTGTGCTTTCTATAGAGTTCAAGCACAAAGAGTTTTACAGGAAATATTCACCAAACATCATCAAAACTCTAGAGCACCAAAGTTCTATTTGAAGATGCATCCCCCAACATGTCAACTGTATTATTATACTCTATTTGTCTAAGGCATTGTGGATGAGAGAGGGGGTGTACCCCATGGGCCCTGAGGACTTATTTCAGCATGCTCAGCGCGTAATACTATGTCTATAAAGAGTAAATACTATGCGAATCTATACACAGCTTCCAAAATTCTACCTTGATTGTGCTGTTGGCCTTCTGTACTGGGGCAATGGTTGCACTCATTTAGCCAAGTGGTCTTGAAATGAAATGGAGGACATCATGCTTTTCAAGTTGAATGACAGCAGAAGAATGGATGTTTCAGGGTTACTTTTATAGCAGAAGATGTCACCTGGATTCGTGGGACCATTTCACTTCCTTCTTATCCCTTCATTCTTTCTGTTTATCTCTGATCATTTTTCATGATAATACCATCTCTAACCTCTTCCTAATTTTCTGGAATCTGCTTCCTGGCTATCTTTGGTGCTTAGAAATGACCTTGTTTATTTGTTTGTTTGTTTTTTCTCTTCACCTCATCCTAGCTCCAAACAATTATCCTTTCTTCATGTAGTTCCCGAAACACAAGTCAAGCCATGAATCCTCTTTCTGTTGGAAGAAAAACCAGCAAGGTCCCTCTGGTCCAAGTCATGGAAACATGTCCTGTGATATCCATTCATTTTGGAGACAGTACCTCTAACAGTGCTCCCAGGACTGCCCACATCAGAATCACATAGGGTAACTGTAAAAAAGGCAGGCCCTAGGGGCCTATCAAGAACCACTAACTCAGAATTTACATTTTTAACAAGCTCCCAAGTAGCTCATGCACTTTAAACTTTGAAACCACTACATTGGAGTCTGAGTTTAGCTTTTGCACAGATGTATAATAATTTATCCAGTTTGGGTTTTGATTTCTCTCTCTGTATGTATGTGTGTGTACACACACACACACACACACACAGATCTTCCTCCACTTCCAATGGGATTATGTCCCAATAACCGGCTGTAAATTGAAAATACCCTCAATTGAAAATACATTGAATACACCCAACCTACCAAATGCCATAGCTTAGCCTTGCCTACTTTAAACATGCTCAGAACACTTACATTGGGCAAAATCATCTAACACAAAGCCTATTTTATAATAAAGTATTGAATATCTCATGTAATTTATTGAGTATTTTACTGAAAGTGAAAAACAGAATGGCTCATGGGTACAGAATGGTTGTGTGTTGGATGCTCACCCTCATGACTGTGTGACTGACTGAGTTGTGGCTGGTAGCTAATGCCAGGCACCAAACAGTATCATGCCTGTATGGCCAGCCTGGCCTGGGGAAAAATCCACATTCGAACTCAAAGTACAGTTTCTACTGAATGCATATTGCTTTTATACCATTGTAAAGTCAAAATATTGTTAAGTTGAAACATCATAAGTTGGGGTTCCAAATTATATGTATTTGTAACTTGTTTTCAGGTATATGCTTCTATCCAAACCCCCACTGTATCCAGATAAGAATATGGGACCAAATTTCCTTCTCCTTTCCACCTTCCCAGGATTGTTGTAGGTATCACAGAAGATCCCAAATGAAAGAATTTCTCTTAACCAAAAATATGAGGGACAGAGGGACTGTTTGTTTAGAAATACTACAATTTGCAGTACTGATAATAGAACGCAAAAATTTATAAAGGTCTTTCACAAAACATCTCTTCTGTTCCTCACAACAACCCCATTAGTAGGATTTACTGTTTGTTAACATCCCCCAATTCAGAGGTGGGATAACAGGTTCAGACACCCAAGAGACTAGTTTGGGATCTCAAGGAAGCAGAAAGTGACAGAGGTGAGAATGTCACCTGGTCTTTCAATTCAAGTTTGATGGGCTTATCATTATGACAAAATGTCACAAATACTAATAAAAGCAAAATTACTACCACTAAGGTAATACTTTGATTTCTTTTCCTATGTGGCTGCATCTGAAAGAAAATCTTTGTTTATTTGACATCTTATTATTACCAGAGATTTAAGCAATTTACAGTATTAGGGATGAGGATGATGGCTTTTGGTCATGTAAAATACAAACCTCTGTTTCATCAAGAACTGTAGAATTCAGCCAGTTACAAGCCAGGATTCTACTCCGGTTCAGTTAGCTTGCTATTATTTGGGAACACTGCAATTCGCATTGTAATGATTTAGCAGCATTGACACATCTTTCATGTACAGTGGTCTCAATTTCTGCGGTTTTGTTTTCTGCGGTTAGCGGTCAACGTTGGTCTTAAAGCAGATGATCTGCCTTCTGACATATCATCAGAAGGTCAGTGGTAGCCTAATGCTACGTCACAATGCCTACATCATCCACCTCACTTGTTCTCATCACTTGGACATTATATTATCTCACATTATCACAGAACAAGAGTGAGTACAGTGTAACAAGGTATTTTGAGAGAGACTACTTTCATACAACTTTTCTTACAGTATATTGTTATTACTGTTCACTTTTATTATTAGTTATTGTTGTTATTCTCCTTCTGTGCCTAATTGATAAATTAAACTTTTTCACAGGTGTGTAAGTACAGGAAAAAACAGCATATATAGGGTTTGGTGTTATCTGCAGTTTCAGGCATCCACTGGGGGTCTTGGACTGTATCCCCCATGGATGGGGGGGGGGACTGTGTATATCAGCTTTCTACTTTCTACCCATATGATAGGAATGAAAGCCAACTTAAGGTTGTGCAAGCCCAGAACCCCTGTGTCTCATTAATCTCTTCCACACCTAGGGGCTAGGTGTCCAGCTGGGACCTGGTTTGATGTGCCAGTGCTACTTAATAATACCAAAACAAAAAATTATGATACTTTTGCTCGTTATGAAAAGAATCATCCAATTGGACCAGAATTTTGGCATTGTTTGGACAGAGGCAAATTTTCAACCTTAAAATTAGACATCCCCAGAGGAATTGTCTTTAATATATATTTTTTAAAGAAACCCTAACAAACAAACAAACAACAACAACAAGAACAGACAAAGCTCACAAGACCCTCAGGATTCCTATGAAAGTTAAGAAAGCCTTCTAGGTGAGAGTAAAGAGAA